CAGCCCCTTTTCCTGCCCTCTTCTTCACCCCAAGTTTACTCTGGTTTATCATTGTCTCCTAGTGGTATCCAGAGGCGAGCACAATGATCCAAACATGATCCATTCGTTCATTCATAATAATAACGGCTAACAGTTATTCAATCAAACTATACGGCAGGCCTTAAGTGCTTTAGGTACACGGTCTCATTTAATCCTTACAGCTCTATTATTCTCATTTTACCGAAGAGCAAACTAAGGTTCAGAGATGTTAAATAACTTAAAGTCACACAGCTAGGAGTTAGTGGAGCTGGGATTTGAATACAAGCAGTCAGACTGCAGAGCCTCCCTCTTCTGTGCTGTGCACTCTATTGTACTCAGAGGATGCATCGAAAATGAATTCATATACTAAAACCACTGAATTGTACACCTTCAAAGGTGAATTTTATGGTATATGAATTTTCTCTCAATTAAAAAAATCTTAATGGGCAAAATTTTTGGTTCAGATATATGTTTACCAGATCCCTAAGAACTTCGTTGACCTGTTTTTCCTGGTATAAGCCAGCTAACAAAAAATTAAACTATTTCTTAAAAAAAAAAAAAGAATCCCAGACATTCTTGTAGTCCAACAGAGCTAGTTTCAAACTTCAGCCCTGCCAGCGACGTACAACACTGTTGTTTCCTCTCGTGTGGGGTTGGGACGGTGAACCTTGCCTTGTCTGGTGGTCGTGCGGATTTGAAGCAGAGGCTGCACCTGGCAGAAAGCTGACCCTTGGTAAATCACAGCTGATAGGACTGAATTCCATGAGAGCACAGGCGGGCGGAGTTAATGTGAAACTGCTGATGACCTCTACCCCGGGAATGGGACCTAAGGTCCGCCTGGGGCCTCCTCATCCTCTCTGCAGAGTCCCTTCTTAGCCCTCCTATGCTCGAGCTGGGGTTCCTGCCTAAGATTCCATAAGGAAGACCAGCACCTTGCTCTTCTCCACCTGCCTAGCTCGCTCCCTGGGTTGAGAGGGGCTGGGGTTCCTGAGCCAGGCCAGCTTCTCAGCTGCGAGCGGGCACTCCCATCCCCCTGGCACTGGGGCTCTGGCCCATACCCAGCCCCATCCTTATAGGCAGCTCTGTGCCCACAGGGGCCACGTTGCTATGGTGATTCTGCTACCCACACAGTGTCCAGGGAGACAGCCCGGTGTAGCCGAGCTGTTTGCAAGACTTGCTGAAACCAGCACTGACAGGCTGGGAAGATTCCAGAAAGGGTCAGAGAGAGTGGAGGATGGGAACTAAGTGTAACTGCTCACCCAGCAGCAGCACTGTGTGTGTGTGTGTGTGTGTGCATGTGTGTTCACATGTGCACCCACCTTGTCCAGGTTATAATGGCCCTTCCAAGCAGAGGCACAGACCCTAGAAAGGCCCAATCTCATGACTGTCATAGGTTTCTTCCTGGCGTGGTGTTCACAGTTTATCATAGTGTTTAGTTTCTATATTGAAAACTAAAAGGGGGAAAAAAAAGTGGCATTTATGTGGCTGCAGAGCAGACTGAACTGTGATATCTCCTAAACCGTGTCTGAAACTGACTTCATGGTCTACTCTGTCCCTTGTTCTTTAAGACTTCTAACAGAACACCATGTGGGACACCAGGAATTACACTGTGATGGGGAGGCAAGGTGACAAAACGGGATGCCCACCCTTCCTCCCACATCCCCCCACTGTGCACTCGCCTTACGTACCAGGTGGCTTGTCTGAATTCTCACTTAACCCACATTGTGATCCTGTGCAGAGAACATTGTTATGCTCATTTCACAGATGACAAAACTGAGGCTCAGAGAGGCTGAGTCACTTGCCACAGTCAGGAGCTAGTGCGTGCAGGAGGTGGGAGGCAAACCCGGGCTGTTGTTTCAAGATCTGTGCTCACGGCACAACGTGACCCTGCTTCTCTGTCCTGCTCCCTGCTCAGTGGGAGTTCACTGTGGGTAGCCTCCTAGTCCCAGAGAGAACAGAATCCAAGGCAGCAAGTGAAATAAAGGAGCCAACCCCCCTGGAATAGCAGGTGGAGTACAACCCAAATTATACACATTGGGGACTGATATTTAGGCTCTAAATTCAAGAGCTTTGATTCCTCTTCCTGGGCGATACTGGGAATGATTAAATGAATGACTGCAGCCCTAACCCATGTACACATTTGTGCTGACCCAATTCAATCCACACTAGTTAATCTATGCCTTTCCCCCACAGTCATGAATGTGGGCTCCCCTTTGCAGAGCCTCAGAAACAGCCCTGACTGCAAATAAATTAATTCTCAGGGGTGGTGAGAACCGGGCCCTAGCATCTTCCCGAGCCCTCGTGTTCAGAGCTGATGCTGACTTGTAAAGCGCTTTATGATTTATTCATACCGCCTTCCCAGGCTTCCCAGGACAACCTTCCCCTCACACAAATGAGCGCGACTCCCAGAATAGAATGTCAGGCTTCATTAAAAGAAAAAACCCGGCTGTGGGGGATGTCCCTTTTTTTGCTTCCTAGCCTGCGTCACCCAGCATTTGTAGAATTCAGGTCAAACTTGAGAAAGCACCTGTGCTTTAACAGCCTTTGGCTCGTGAACAAGGCGAGGTGTCAGGAGCTTCTTTCTGGGAGGGAGAGACTCTCCGAGGCTGGACAGCTCTCCATGTCTGCCTTGGGTCCCTCTGCACTGCAGACTAGAACTCGGGCTGCTGGAGGCATTTACAGGAGGCTGACAGCAAGTGACAAGGAGCCAGGCAGAGGGGCCCACAGAAGGGACTGGGGTCATGGCGGAACCAGGGTGGAGTTCTGCTCCATTGATTCTCGGCTGGGGGACTGAGGCAGAACCCTCCTTTCTCAGGAACACCACTGGGGGACCAGAGCACTGGGTAAATTAGAAGTCACCAAAGTAGCCCCTCCCACCATTTTTATGACTGTCATCATCATGCTGTCCTGAAACCTAAGGACAGGAGGGCCTAAGCACTTTGAAGCATAGATAGAAGAGGGAAGTCCTTGCTGTCTTTCTCTCTGGACTTCATCAGTGTGCCTCGGTGGCAGCCCCTCACTCAGGCCTTGCCACTGCCCAGGAAAGCTGACCACAGAAAAAGATGGTGGCCAGGAAATGGTAAGGCATCACAGGGCACAGAAGTCATGCAGGTGCAGACATGCCGGGGCTTCACAACTTCCCTAAAACTAGCAAGACTTCACATGCCGCAGTCATCATTCTAGTCCCAGAGGATCACTCTCTTTAGGGAACAAAGCCCACTAAACCATACCCTCGAGGACTTTTGAGCAGCTCAGCTTCTTTGGAAGCTGACTCCAGGTACCCCAAAGCAAGCACATGAAGGACTTTGTCTCTTGTATCCACTTCCTTAACTCCCAGAGGGCAGAACACAGCAGGAAGGAAGCAGGTCTGCGCCTGGAGTAAAAAACTAACTCTGCGTGGGAAGAGTGAAGCACGTGAGTTCTGGAGCACGTGTGATCTGACTCCCTCCAGATCCACCCCAGGAGAGGAAGGATGCCTGAGCACCCCAGTGACCTCCCCACCCCTCTAGGCGACTGGGGACTTGACCACACCTTTCTCAGTGGAAACTTTAGGACAAAGCCTGTCTGTAGACATCTCCCTTGCTAGACAACTCACATTGGAGTTACTAGAAACATTAACAATTTCTAGATGCTGTGTAACAGTCCAATCTAATCATTTGCAGGAACTAGGAGAACATCATACCCTAGAACATAAGATCCCAGGGGCTTCCTCCCTTTCCATGTACTTTCCCACAGCATAAGGGACAGATGCAGTCCTAAATGTCTAAGGTGTGGGTGGTGAACTGCTGATTATTTTAGGGGTCCATCATTGTGTGACCCCTGCTGTCAACTTTCAATCCATCATTACCCAGCAGTCTAAAAGAGGCCGCTTTACAAAACAGCACCCATGTTGCTCTCAACACCTTAAAAGAAAACAGCAATGACAAAGGAGTTGCTTCTGGGTTAATCTGGTAAACACTTGACCATCCTCTCTAGCTCTGATCCCCTAGGTAGAGAACTGGATGAGTTATTGCATTTGGCAATAAGGAGACCCAATGGTTAACCCAGTTTTGAGGGATCGTAGTAGTCCAAGTCTAGAAATAAATCCCAACAGTCTACCTTTTTCTTAAAAAAAAGCCAAGGATACTTTCAGCTGAGAGTTAGTTCCACACAATTGCTAATTGCTAATGCACAACCTCCTTCAAAAAAAAACAAACAAAAAACTAAAAAACTAAAAGGCATTTCTTTGGGCATCAAAAATTTTTAAATGTTAATTAATTTTCAAAATAATCTTTCTAAAATATAGTAAATAAATTACACTGTTTTAGGCTTCCTTAAATACACGTATTCTCAACGGGGATGATACGTCTTCCATGGGGGCAAACATTGGTTCTTGAATGTGAATCAACATTACTCTTTTTATGTATTAATCATAGATATACATAAAGTACATAAACAGATATATGGCATATTTTTCGTATTAAAATTTCATAGGGGGATGATGAGGAAAAACTGTCTAAAATATGTTCTTAGGGGAGCAATAAGGAAAAAATGTTTAAGAACTACCACTTAAATAGAAAATAACAATCACTACTTTTTCTGTATGACTCCAGGTCAGCCTACAGACATCTCCCATCACGTTCTGTGATGGCTTTTGAAGTAGAGGGGAGGATTCGTTCCTTCTTACATGACCCAGACCCTAACCCTGGGTGCTGATGCTTTTCTGGGGGCTGATTCTTCTCCGTCCCTTTTCTGTGCCGCCCAGTCGTTCCTCAGTGGGCTATCTTCCAGCAGTGGCCAGTTGAACCCATTCCCTTAATTTTACAGGCCATACTCATGCCCATTCTGGTCTGAAAGTAGCACCATTCTTTCCTGTCGAGTTGCAGAACAGCTGAATGGGTTGTTTCCTGCCTATCATGTATTTCTGGGTTCGTATGTGTGTTTTTGGTGAATGAGGTCACTAAGAAAACTTATATGCCTTTGGCATATGCAGAATGACTTACGGTGCAAAGTGTTTCAAAGGTCTTCTCGGAGACGAAGGATCCATCAAGGCCGAAGAGAAATATAGATGCGTAGGAGAGCATTCCTCCAAGAATGATAAGGTTGTTCATATATGGACTCGACATCTTTATCAGCCTGACGAAGAGAAAGAGATAATATATTTACAGAACTATTAATTTAGTTATTCCTTCAACAAATACTTTCCGAATTCATACTAGGTATACATTGTTGCCAAGGCTAGCGGGGGTGGAAAAAATGGAAGCCCTGGTTTCCTCTGCTCCCCTCTGCCACCTACCAAGGGCTGTCTGCCCCTTCACTAAGGGACCCCGGACAACTACATATTTCTAATTGTTGATTTTCCTGCCTCCTTTGTCAAGTTCATCTATTGCTTCTCTAGGGACACCCTGTTGCATCAGCTTCTTTATCCATTAATCTTCCATTTACATAAAAGTGCTAAAGTTGACAGGTTTTTTTGGCTGGGGCTGGGAGCACATACCAGATCTAGAGAATTCTACATTTAAGTTGAGCAACTTTCCACACTGAGGAGGGAGATTCCCGCACCACATTCACCTGCCTTGAGTGGACCATGTCAAGGTCTACAGGCAAGTATTCAGGGTTGCTCAGGAATTGTGGTCACCAGGTGAGTGGACATCCACTCTGGCTGCTTTCTGAGCATTCAGAAAGTCACACTATCCTGTGCACAAAGAGGGCCACATACATGGGTAGGAACATTGTCACAGTCACCAGATGATAGAGGTAGACAAGTGAGTTCCCCCTCCCCACCCCCTCCCCCATCTTCACTAGGCTATTGATAGGAGCATTCTTTATACCCCCAAACTCTACACGCTTCTCTCTCATTTTCTCTGGGAATCCTGCTGTGGATCCCAGCTGCCCAGCAAGCCAGGACTGGGCTAAACCATCAACAGGATCAGACATTCCTGGCTCCCCCAGCACTACCAGCTTAGAACATCTTAAGCTTTCAGGTGCCTAATGGTCTAGGAGCTCTTTTGCAGAATGTAATTATGGTCAATGGTTTCTTGAACACTTTCCTTTGCATTCTGCAGTCCTATTAACCCTTCACATTTTTAAGCATATAATGTGTCAGAGCGATAGAGAAATAAAAAGGCTGCTGCTTTTTCTTTGGTGGACCACACACAGGCTTTGGAGCTGAGAGCACTGGGTCCAGAGCTTAGCCCCTGCCAACCCAGGCAGGTGTGCCCTTGGCAAGTTGCCTAGGGCACACATGAAGCTGAGATGACACTGGGTCCCTGGAGGTCCTTTCCTAAACCATGAGCTGCTAAGGCACACTCATTTTGTTCCTGCAGCAGACTGGGGAAAGGAGAGGCCAGGAGCTGGGGCAGGCTTCCTAGAGGAGGTGGGCCTTAAAGGATGGGGAGCATTTAGGAAGACAGAAGGGAGGAGAATTTGGAACCACAGTGACATTTCTTTCCTATCTCTTGCTGATTTTTCAATAGTCAAGCCAGTCAAAAATTTCACCTGGATGCCAACCTCTTGGAAAGAGTTATGGTAATAACCCCCAGGAGGCAAAGAGGGGATAGTTAAGGAATTAAGAGTTTAGGTTTAGTCTTACGATAGGGGCACCCTGCTGTTATGATGGGAATTCCTGAGATGTGTAGGAAGGCAATCTAAGACTAGCTGAGACCTGTGTGCCCAGGCCTGTGCCAAATGCTAATAGGTGTAGTCATCATTTAAGGTTTGCATGGAGCAGACAAAAGTTGCTTCAATTTTTTTGTGGCAGTATATGTGTTATTTGTGATAAAATAAAACAACAGGTGAATAAAACTCTTCTTTTTCTTCGGGAAGTAAGTTTGACCTAAGCAATCGCTGCAGAAACAAAAACCCCACAGAAGCCTAGAGCCTCCAAGTTCTTCCTTTACAAACAGGGAGTGAAAAAAACCAAAAAAACTGTTTCCCTCAGAATTGGGCTTGTTTCTGGCAGCCTGGGAGGTCAGGTGACACGGTTTCTGGGCATGACAGCAGAGCCGCAATGCCACGTGGGTGGCCTCTGAGGCTGTCCTCATGACACCCATCTCTGGGCCCCCACTCAGCCTCTCCCACAACAAGGCAGGGAGCTGGGCTCAGGGTTTGCTATGGAAACCAGAGAAGCTAGCTGTGCTTGGTCAACGCCACCGCCTGGAGTGGTGGCCTGTTCTACCCACGACTGACCAGAATAACTGAGAGTGGGCCTCTCTCCTCAGGAAAGTGAAAGGCATGTGGTGGAGAAGAGAAATCAAGACAAGAAACCAAGGGGACAGGATCTGCCACACATGGACAGCAGTTCTCCGTCAGCAAGCTTTGTGTCTGGAATACAAGGAGTTATCTGGAGGGTCAAAGGAGCTGATGTAAAGGAGGGGCTTCCTGGACTGTAACGGGCTGTAGCAATGGGAGTCCCTGTCACTGGACCTAATGACCCCTCCAGTAGTGATTCCCAAAGATGCTGGGGGAGGGAGGCAAAGAAGTTTGGGGGAATTCTGTCTTCTATCTCTCTCCTCCTGAACAACCACAAAGTGCACGTGTGTATCTGTGAAGGTTATTTCTAGATGCCAACTTGGTTAGAGGAAGGAATGCTGAGAAACCTGGTAAAGCTATCTTTTTAGGTGTGTCCGTGAGGGTGTTTCCAGCAGAGATTAGTATGAGAGTCTGAGTGGCCTGGGTGGGAACCATCCCATCCACTGGGGTTCCAGAGAGAACAAAAGACAGACGAAGAGTTGGCCCCAGAGGCTTCTGCTATGCCTTCAGGGCCTTTTCTCCCTTCTCTTGATAATCCCTTTCTTTTGCACTAATCTTCTTAGCACCATTGGATTTTTCTTCAGAAAATGCTCTCTGCTTCTCTACCTCGTGGCCAAGCTCCAAATTTTCCAAATCTTGATGCTCTGCTTCCCTTTTAAATTCTGGCTTTATGTCACGCCTTTGCTGCCATAACTTAGAGTAGGCTGTTGCAAGAAGCCAAGCAGCTTCCTTAATGCTTTGCTGCTTAGAAATTTTTTGGCCAAGTACTCTGGTTCACAACTCCTAAATCCCAACTTCCACAAAGTCCTAGGGCATGGACAGAATGCAGCCAAATTCCTTGCCAGCAAGGGCGATCTGTGCCCTGGTTTCCAATAAACTCCTTCTTATTTCTATCTGAGACCTCCTTAGAATGATTTTTAAGGTTCATATTTCTATCAGCATACTGCTCACCACCATTTAACCAGTCTCTAAAAAGTTTCAAATCTTCGCTGGTTTTCTTGTCTTCTACACTTTCACCAACATCTAGGCTTTTTCTAGCCTGTTCCTCCAAATTCCTCCAGCCTCTCCTCAACACCCAGTTCCAAAGCTGCTTCCACATTTCCAAGTATCTGTTATAAGCAACACCCCACTTCTCCAGTACCAATTTTCTAAATAGAAACATATTCTTAACACAACAGGGAGAACAATTCAAGTTTCAGGGAGTTTTGGGGGGGACATAATTCAATCCACTACAGTATCCAAAGCTCTGAGAAGGTCTGTGGACTTGGACCCTTCGATTTTATTTAACGCAGCCTTTCCCACTTACTTGACCACAGACTCCTGTGCAACCAGTAACCCTGCCTCTGTGTGTGTGCGTGCATGTGTGTGTGTGTGTATGTGTGCAACACCTAAAGCATCCTAGTGATTGGGTAACACACTTTAGGAAACTTCCCTGAAAGCTTCTGTGTCCCTGGAGAACCTGTCATGGGATGCTCCTACACTTTGTCCATGAGGCTCATCAATCTACAAAGCATTATCCCAGAAGAGGGCATGAGCGGCTTACTTCTGATTCCGATTCTTGATGTTGAAGAAGAGGAAAGCGCTGGCCATGATCATTCCAAGGATGGTAAGGGCAGAGAGGATGCTGTAGAGAGGTAGGGAGATCTTGCGTAGCTGCTCCAGGATGATGGTCTTGTCTTTTGGTGGTTCGGATCCTAGAAGGCCAGGGAGAAGATATCAGTGGAGCCCAGGTCACAGTCATTCCCCAAGAACATCTGTGCCTTAGTGTCCCTGACATCGGCCAGGCAGGCCCCTGCTGATGTCACACACTATGCTAGGCACGTCTATGAACTGGGTGAGCCGGATCCAGCGGTTGGCTAGTCTGCCCAGCAGGGAGCCTGAGCAGAGACTTATTTCTCTCTCTAAATAGAATCAATAGGGGATTTGTGATGCATTTAATAGCCATTAGAAGACTAGACTTTGATTTGGTCTAATTACATTGTTGAAAAACCATCACCATTTATCCCCAAAGGTAACAATGCTTTGGAAGGCATGGGGCTGGGTGATCTGAGTAGGTACCATTCATTGGGTGCCACTGGGGTTGAGGAACTCTGGCCTCAAGGACTCTTCTACACATACATGATAAAAAATCATCCCTCAATAGGGCGGACATCTTGCCTGTCAATTCCATGTGACACATATGTGCTGTGGCTGCGGAATTTCTGCCTCGAGGCCATTATGTTATAAAAGCTCTATCTGGCTTTCCATTTCCATACAACTTGCTAACCGTGGGAGGCAGAAGCTACATCCCCCTTCCTGCTGTGCCAGGACTGGACTGAAACTGTGGGACTCTGTTTCTCTACATGACTGCAGAGGTGCCCTGCTCATTCTTCAAGGGTGCCAGGACCCTGGGGGAGCCCTAAGGGTCTCAGAGCAAATGCATCTTTCTGCACGGTGGCAAAACTGTCCTGTTTTAGTTGTACCAGGTACAGGCTGGTTTGGCATGAGAAATGCAGGGATTTCTCCAGCTTCCTGCAAACTCCGTCTTTGTTAGCTGCTATTTCAGGTCAGGTTTCTGCTGTGGAATTGTGAAACTTTAGGGCTTTTTTCTCCAGTGGGGATATGTGGAATCATCCAGATGTCTGGGAGTGGCCAAGCTTGGGAACTTTCAAAGCCCCAGCAGGGGTCAGGATGACCCCAGGGCTGTGCCCCAGGTGCCAGCCTCAGTTACATTTCCATTCCCAGGAGACAAGCAGGGGATGGGCAGGTGTGGTGGTGGGGATTGAGGACTCCGCTGAAAATCTGTATTTAAGAAACTCTGTGAGAAAGTTCAAATGTGTTTAGAAACATTCAGTGGATAAAAAGAATTTGAGCCATCTAAGAAATCTAGGGAAGTTGTCAGCTAGGAACCTGCCGACATGGTTAATTTAAAGCCTTAAGCAATTCCTTGTAAGGTAACATTTATAAGAAGAGTGGCTTTAGGGGCTGAAAGTCAGGGCTAAAGCAGACACCAGATAGAGGTAACATCATTTCTTGCTTCCAGAAGTGGAAGCTCAACATCTGGAAACTTCTTCTCCCACTCCACATCCTTCCTACTCACCCATCCACCCACACACCCGGACTGCATGAGGCTGGCTCAGGTGCCTTCTGGCTCCCAAACGCAAGAGCAGTCCTGGGGGCACCCATGAGTTCTTGGCTAGAAACAAGCCCCTCCTGGGCACTGAGAAAGGCAGCTGAGGTTTGGATCAAAGGTGATATAACCACTAGTGAGTTTGGGGCCCACTGTGGAGAAACAACTTCAAAAAAATTGACCTTGTCCTCCCCTCATTACTCCACCTTTCCTCCCATCAAAATGGCACCTCTACAAGGTGCATCTTAACTAAGACGTTGCAGAAGTCAAATGGTGACGGTTTATCAGAAGTAACAGCAGCAGTCCTGAGTTTTCTTTCTTGCTTTTCATCCAGTCAGTTTGTTATTATTCATCCATTCATCACCATTCATTCATTCATTGATCATCATTAATATGACTAATCACCAGTGCTCATCACCTTCCACCTGTCAGGCCTGATGCTGGGCGCCCATGGCACAAAGATGAAGAAGACACATCCCTGCCCTCAAGGAACGTACACACTAGTCATGGAAAAAGAAACAAGCAATAATAAGCAATTACGTTTATTGACTGCTTACCACAGACTAAACACCGTATAGAGATTGTCTCACTTGGTCCACCCAACAGCCTCACAAGTAGTTAAGATTATTCCCAATTTACAGAGGGGCCCAACAGTTTTCTAGGTGTTAAGTGGCTTTTACAGCTAGTAAGTGGCGAAGCTGGCAGCATTTGAACCCAGATCTGCCTAACACTGACGCTTGTGCTCTCTCTACTACACAAAGTGCCTCCAGGGATGGTGGGTCCAGGTGGTGTGGTGGCACCAGGCACAGGAAGTCCTGAGCATGACGCGGGGAGCAGAGTGCAGTTCTGCCTGATGGAGTCAGGAGAGGCTACAGAAGGAGATCATGTGGAGCTGAGCCTTGGAAGGTGAGTAGAAGAGCTGGCTGTTGACTAGGAAGACAAGGAGGAACGGGCATTCTGGGCAGAGGGCACAGCGTAGGCAAAGGCATGAGGCCATCTTGGCCCATTTGAGGAAATGTGAGCAGTTTGGTTGGGGAGATTTGAGAGAGGAGGCAGAGAATTGGGCAGGGGTCCCTTCATGGAGGCCTTGGGGCCACAGCGAGACCACCTTACTCTGAGCATAGGGGGGCATGCAGGTCTCTGAGCAGAGGTGGGGCATCTTCAGCCTGGCATGATGGTAAGGGCACTTTGGCTGCTGAGGGCAGAATGGACTGGAGGCAGGTAAGACTAGTAGTGAGAAGACCCTTTGGGGCTGGTGCAGGGGTCTGGGTGAGAGAGGCTGAGAGCTGAACCCAGGCAGAGGTGTGGGCAGGAGAGGTAGGCTCTGCCTAGACTCCATGGTGGCCTGACTCGGCTCTGGGTCAGAAACTGGTTATCCGCCCTCGGTGGTGGGGAAGGTCTGAGAAGCAGGAGGTAGGCCTAGAACACTCCTTCCTCAGTTTACCTTAGCCTGGAGACAGAGCCTGGGGCCTGAACAGCAGGGTCTCTCAGCATAATCTATGAAGAGCTAGTGCCCCCTGACTAGTATTCAGCCACTGTACTGGCTGTTGGTACCCTCCACCCGCAAATGTGTGTTTTTCCTCTTAGTTTTGTTCTGTGTCTTTATTTTGTGTTTAAATCTTCCCTTCAGCTTGTAAACCAGAATCCTTGTTCAGTAAACCCTGATCTCCCGAGTCTGGGAGCAGACAGGCCTGCTGCTGTCTGGGTGTTAGAACAGGTCATGCCTCTCATAGGCCATGTGAATTTGGGGTGTTGCCCTTTCTGAGCCATTTTCTCATCCGTACAACAGGGATAGCAGGACTCACTCACACACCTTTCAGAGTTTTTCTGTGGCTCCATGAGGTAATATGGGACTACGTGCTCGGTGACAGCTCCCTCTCCACACGTGAGTGTGGAGACCACTCCTCTCTTGGAGTGGTCCTCCTCCCAACTGGAGCTATGCTTTGTGAGGTTCTCAAAGCCAAATCCCATAGATCCAGTGCATATGTAGGAACATGACAAAGTCTAAGCAAGGGGTCCACAGGAGAGCCTTCTACAGTGGCATAGAGAGCTGTCCTGTTTTCTGCTGACCCAGTGGAATCAA